CTAATAAAAAAAATAACAATGATAAACCGAAAATTACACCTGTACCTGATACTCAATGTCATTGTTGTGCTGAAGATTTAAGTACTGCACATAGTGGTGGTGAATTTGTATGTCCAATGTGTGATGTTCCATTTAAAAAAAAATCATCCCTGGATAGGCACTGTATAGTAATTCACTGGCAGTGTGAGTTTATTTTTTGTGAGAAATGTGGAGAATCATTTCGTAATAAAAAATCATTAAATAAACATCGTTATACCACACATGCGGATAGAAAAATTTTTAGGTAAATATATATTTACTATTACTACAGCTGATTCATTGAAAAATGCAAAGAAAGTAAGACATATGATATGATTTTAAATATTTCAGATGTGAGGAATGTGATACTTATTTTTCTCGAGCCTATCATTTAAATCGTCATATAATGCAGTCAGGTTGTCATGGAAACATTGTTAATAGATATGGTTGTCAAGTAAGTTCTTTGTGTAAAGTTGTTTTATAATCAAAAAGCTTAAATATAAATCGTTTTGTAGTATATAAAATAAGTTTGAAATAACTAATCTCATAATTATTAACATAACTATTTTAATAGGTTTGTAAAAAAATATTTACGCGTAAGGATAATTTACGTGAACATTTACGTACTCATGCTGGAACTCCTAAAAGGCGAAAGAAACCTTGTAAATATTGTCCTAAGGAGTTTTTTAGTAATCAGCAGTTGTTAATTCACGAACGTGTGCACACAGGAGAACGACCAGTTCACTGTGATTTATGTCCGAAGACATTTTTATCTTCTCTCGCATTAAAAAAACATAGACGCGTGCACACGGGAGAAAAACCATTTGAATGTAAATTTGTAAGTATAGACTTTGTATATTAAAGCTAACTTCAATAATTTATGTTTCTTTTATCAGTGATATTGTTTTAGTTGTATAAATTCCAGTACTTTGTTATACTAATTTTCTTGTATAATTTTATTACAAGCAAACATTATATACTGGAAAATTTATGTAAGTTTTTGCTGCAATGTACCCAATTTTCAATTTTATACTTCGTTTCATAAATGTGTAATACATACCATAAGTAATATTAATTCAGTATAATATTTTATGAAACGTACATAAATCAATAATTAATTTGCTAATTATTTTAGTGTCAGAAGAAGTTTGCTGCTTGGGAAACTTTGAATCGTCATCAGAGAACACATACTGGCGAAAAGCCTCATGTTTGTCAATACTGTCATAAATCATTTATTCAGGCTTCTCAATTGAGAGCACATATATTTCACCATACTGGTGAAAATGGTTTCTATTGTGATGTATGTGGAAAAGTATTTAATAGGAAAGCTCGTTTAAATGTTCACAAAAAGTTTGTCCATGAAGGAGCAACGCCATTTGCATGTACAATGTGTGACAAGAGATTTATAAGAAGAGAGGGTCTTCTTAAACATGCATCACTTCATACAGGAATTAAACGTAAGAAAATCATTGTGATTGTGATCTTATAATTTTATCGTCTAGTACTTAGCAATAATATTAAGCACAAATACTAAGCAGTAATATTTGCACATTAATTACAAATATTTTCTCTGCTTCAGCATTTAAATGTGATAAATGTGTAAAAGCATTCTCCACGAAATCTTCTTTGCAAGCTCACTTGAATACTCATAGGCGAGAACCGCCGCAATCATGTGTTGAATGCAATAGAGTTTTCATTCGATTAGATTGTTTAATGAGACACATAAAAGCAAAACATCGTGAATTATTGGAAGATGTAATGCATGAAGTCGAAAACAAACATTTACAAACACAATTGTGTAATATTACTATGATTGCTGCAGAGAAAAAAAAGAATGGAGAATCAAAAAAACTTTCTACTGATGAATTGTTGGAAGCTATTTCGGATCTTTTGAAAATATTAATTGATGATGAAACCCTTCAGGTAAAAATTGCAATAATAATAGTTACGATTATAACAATTACATAATATCAAGTACTATTTAACATATGTATTTTATAGTTTTTCGGCTGGCCTGACGCTCCTATTCAAGATATTTTGGAAGCTGTAATTAGAAGATGTGGACACCAACCATTAACGTCAGAAAGTAATTCCCTTTTAACTGAAAGATTGCGAGAAAACATAAAACTTTTGTTTATGGTTGTTATAGAAGATGATACAGTGAAATCTCTTTTAACAACAAACACAGTAGATGATGTTATTGTACATGTTTTAAAACTTTCAAAGGAATGTACAACAAATTCATAGTTGTATAAGAAGAAATGGAAATTAATTAATTTTTTATTTACATATAGTGTTCATTTTTTTAAAATTAGTATTAAAAAATTCAAAGTGAATTGCTCCTAACTTTAAACAAGACACATGTTTTTATGTAATGTTCTTTTTGCACTCAAATATGTTTAGTTTTATTATTGACACCTAAATATTATTTTTTTTTTATTAGGCATTTAATAATTGTTGTTAAACATAAATATATGGTTAAATTTGCTGACACATTTTATTTCAAAGCAGTCTATTTTTTGTACAATATACATTCTTTGCAAACTGCAGTTGCGTACTAATTTGTATACCTAACCCTTAAGAATTAATATTTCGAGAATATTGTACTATTATGATAAATGTAAGTTTTTCATTTAATAAGAAAGTGGTTAATTATTATTGGAAGATAGGTTAATTTATTGTCTTTTATTCGTTTATTGAAAAAACATTTAATTATTTTCTCCACATTAATCTTTTGCAAATATACTGTCAAATTTATCAATATAATTAACAATTGTTTAACACAGTTCAATTTTTACCAAAGTTTTTTGCAATTACAACATGGGATATGGTTAGTATTCCAATCAATATGAATAACACGTGGAAGTAAGTACTGATCAGTGTGTATCCTTTCCGGACGGGTTGATTCTTGTTTATGTTGTCTTCTTATTTTAATTAACAATGATTGCATTGGATAATACGACAAAAATCGGAAAATCACCGAAAAAACAAATGGGTTGGAATAAAAATTTATTTTAGTAATTAAACATTTTTCTACATGAAAGCTTTTGTACCTAACCTTTTTCAAATTATACTTTAAGAAATTATTGAAAATCATTGCTTGAAGTAATTTTAAAAGAACATTGTTATTTTGTTTAAAATGTATAATAAATATTATTGCAGTGGAGTTAGGAGAAGACAGTGATGATAATGAAAGCACTAGCGATGAAGATTTATTAGAATCAGACATACAAGAATTAGAAAGTGCAAGCAAAGGATTGAAAGAAGTAAAATTTAAAAAAATGCATATGGAAAAGGAAACGGAAAATGATAAATTTAATAGTCATAAAACTGAAACTGGAGGAAATCCTGGTTGGGCAGATGTTATGCAAAAAATTCTGAAGACTAAAAAACCAAAACATAAAAAAGCAATAGTTTTATCAAAAGCAAAAAAGTTATGTGATGTAAAAAAGAAAGAAAATGAAGGAAATCTATCTTTTGAAATTGAGAAAGTAAAGGAAGAAATAAAAACAGAGAAAGTAGAAGAAATTACAGATAATGTTCAAGAATCAATTACACGATTAAAAGAAAGGAGAAAAGATAATTTGGGTATTAGAGTAAAACCAACTATAATGGATAGAGAACATGAAAGAATATTACAAAAAATTGCTACAAAGTAATTGACTTAGTTTATAAATATAGGGAATATTATTTCATGTGCTTAAAATTATTAATTACATATTGTTACAGAGGTGTAGTACAGTTATTTAATGCAGTTAAACAACAACAAGGTGAGATTAATAAAAAATTATCAGAAGCTGGCCCATTAGAAAGAAAGCGTGAACAAGTACTTAAAAATATTGATAAAAGTGTATTCTTGGATGTGCTCATGGGAGGAAGTAAAAGTATTCCAGCAAGTAATGATACAAAAACTGAAATACAAGATAATGAAAAAAATAGGGAAAAGGTAATTATATTGTTTTAAATACACGTTATTTTTTGTAAAAGCTTAATATTGATAAAAAAATATATATTTTATATAAAAGGAAAATG